AGAGACAAAAACATACAAAATTGACAATGAATGGCAAATGTCCAATGGCAATGAGCATGCGCAATAGTTTGTAGGTGGGCCTATCTAGATCTAGCTAGCGTTTAGCTATCTTAATTCAACGCCGCAATTCTAAACTTATAGAAGAAACTTAGAGCATAGAACCAAAGCAAACTCTTTCTGCAACTTCCCCAGCAGATTTTAGTGTTAAATTAGCTGATATGAATAGTCTAAACTATATTTTTCACTAGGCGTCTGAATAATAAGGTGTCCGAACATTGCCCTTTACACCTGCATGAATAGTAGTGATGATATTTTAAAGAAGAGAAGAGATAGAGCTCTGAAATTTGCTGCTATAATAGCGAAGTGATGGGTGCATGTGATGATACAATTAGAATGGAAAAGCTCCAAGTTTCTTTGGAAATGGCAACCAAGGTCTGTGGAAAGGAATTTTTGTCCGAAAATATGGCCGTCCAAAATTTGACTTTGAGAGCGCCTGTTGTTAGCATACAGAGTCGATCTGTTTTGATAATGATGTGTGCCAAACAGTTATCATAGATCTATCAGATGATAGTAAGAGAAAACAGCAAAGCTCTGTCAAAGCTGAGAAATAGCGTCCGAAAATCGGGCGTGTCCGAACACGGGCCGTTTACTCTAGGTGTTTTTGTTTTGTTCAGTAGACCTAATAAATATATTCTCATTTCATTTTGTCAACAGGCCTCATGTTTACATGACAAAATTAGAAGACCTCCATTTTTATTGTAACCACCTTTTCTAGACTCTCGAACGGAGTTAGCTAGTAAGTCTTGGAATCATAATAGTGTATTGTTTGTTACATGGACTGAAACTATTCTCGTGTCAATGTAATGAGAAATGACTGAGATAATAGCCAAAAACTAGTTTTTTTAATATTAATTTTGTAACCACCTTTTTGAGACTTTTGCACCAGGTATGAACAAGTTACTACTTTGAGTGTATTCATTAAGGCCTCTTATATAGACTGTTTATGGTTTCATTTTTCTAGATGCTATGTTTCAAAAGTAATAATATATTTTTTGCTAGTGTTTCAAAGGGTGTGGTTTAATTTTTAGTGAGAACTGAGTAGTGAAAGAATAGGTTATTTACCAAGAAACACAAGCAGGATTGTAGTGGCATTGATGAGACATTGTTACATGATTGTAAAGCTTTATATTTATGCTACCACAGAGAACTATCAAGATAGAGATGATGTACATTACAGTATGTACTGTATGGTGATACAGTAAGTGTGGCTTATAATAATTGTTGTCAATGTTTTTATTGCTATTTTTATAGTTAAAATTTGTTGAAGGACTCATAATAATAATCAATCTATTGGGTCACTGAAGAACAGAATAATCATCAATAGTTATAATGATAATAATTTAAATAATAATTTTTTAGTACTTAGCACAGTGCATTCTTTCTTGTAATACCGTAGATCGGGATATATTCGCGGCTGCTTATTTTCGCGATTTTTTCCCGCACTCAGCAATCACCATGACTACCAAATGCAATTTTAATTGAAAAATCCGCGATATTAATAGCAAAGGACTCTGTTGCAGTGTTCTTGGGTTGTTGTTCTTCTTGCTATTACTAATCCTTGGTCTCTTTGGAGTTATTTCAACCAGAGCTACTCTCTTCACTCTGC